GACTACTGTTGATGGACATTTAGGTTGATTCCATGTCTTTGCTATTGTGAACAGTGCTGCAGTGAACATATGTGTGGATATGTATTTATGGTAGAATAATTTTTATTCCCTTGGCCATATACCCAAGAATAGGATTGTTGGGTCAAATGGTAATTCTGTTTTAAGTTATTTGAGAAATCGCCAAACTGCTTTCCACAATGACTGGACTAATTTACATTCCTGCCAGCAGTGTATATGTGTTCCCTTTTCTCCACAGCATTGCCAGCATCTGTTATTTAAAAAAATTTTTTTAATGATAGGTACTCTGACTAGTGTGAGATGGTGTCTCATTGTGGTTTTGATTTGCAGTTCTCTAATAATTAGTGATGTTGAGCATTTTTTCATATACTTGTTGGCTACGTGTAGTGATGTTGAGCATTTTTTCATATACTTGTTGGCTACGTGTATGTTTTCTTTTGAAAAGTGCTTATGTCCTTGCCAGTTTTTTAATGGGGTTGTTTTTTGCTTGTTAATTTGTTTAAGTTCCTTGTAGATTCTGAATATTAGACCTTTGTCGGATGCATATTTTGCAAATATTTTCTCCCGTTCTGTAGGTTTTCTGTTTACTGTTGATAGTTTCTTTGGCTGTGCAGAAGCTCTTTAGCTTAATGAGGTCCCGTTTGTCAATTTTTGTTTTTGTTGCAATTGCTTTCGGTGTGGAAGTAGTCCTTTGATAGGCTTTGCCTACCTTGATTTACTGGTGATAGTATTGAGTTTAAATGTACAATGTAATGGAATAAAACACAGCACTTAGATATTTAAAAAAATTTTTTTAAAAACCTTGAATCTGTGTGTGTGTGTGTCTGTATCTTTATTAGGGAATTGCATGTTTTCAGGTTTTTTGGAACCTTCATAATGGCAGTGTATATGCAAAGATTTTCTTTATTCCATCTCAGTTTGTTTTGTGCTGCTGTAACAGAATAGCACAGACTCATTTAGAAACAAAAGAAGTTTATTTGCTCATGGTTCTAGAAGCTGAGATGTCCAAAAGGACAGCTCCAGCATCTGGTGAGGTCCATCATGCTGTATCATCCCATGGTTGGAAGTTGGAAGGGCAAGAGAGCACTCGAACAAGAGGGGACTGAAATTGTTTTTGTAACAAACTCATTCCCTTGATAACTAACCTATGCCTGTGGTAATGATTTTAATCTGTTCATGAGAGTAGGGCCCTTCTGACCTAATCTTCTCTTACTAGGCTCCACCTTTCAAAACTGTTACATTGGGATTAAATTTCCAACATGTGAACTTTGGGTGACACATTCCAACAACAGCATCTCCTGAGTCTGTATTTTTAGTTACTATTACTCATCTAGGACTAGGAAAATACGTACTTACTTCCTGTCATTTTACACAAAAATCTGTAAAAATAATTTTAAATATAAATAACTTTCAATTTTTGTTAGAAAGTCTTTCAAGAAAACTGTGTAGAAAATTAATAACTCTTAATGGATATTAAGCTCTAAAAGGTTAAGTACTTGTTACTCTATCTAGAATTTTAGGAAGTTTCCTTACCTATGTAATTTGTGCTTTGGTGTATTTATCCTTAAATGTTTTAAAAATAAAAAAGAGGTTAATTTCTTATGTTTACAATTATCAGTGAAGAAGAGTATCATTTGAATTTAATCTTTGTGGCTTTCACTAATATATATATGAAGACGTATATAATGTATATACTATGAAGACGTAGAGGAGTAATCTCTAAAATCACCTTTGCCACACATTGATGTGTTCAGATTATGGCCTCCACAAGATTCGATAATGGAGGGATACAAAGTAGATTTTAAAGTGATCAGTCCTTTTGCTTTTTTGATTTGTGGGACAACCTTTCAGATGCCAACTCTAAGGATAATTCATGTCTGAATTGTTGAAATCCATCTAGAATAGCCAACTCTACTTGGAATAATGGGGTTTAGGGCATAAACATTTCTCATTCATAATTTGACCCATTGTAGGAGCAAAGGAGCAGACTGTCTTTAGAGCAGTGTTTCTCAACCTACCACTCTGCTAAGAAATACATTTTACATTATGATCCAGATTTGTGCTCACATGTGTGTACAAATGTGCAAAACAACAATCTAGGAATATTTACCTTTCTTTTATGCAGTGTACTCTGTTTTCTATTCTGTATCATTTTTATATGCCAAAAAAATGTTTAGTTGTGGCCCGTAAAATAGATTTCAAAAACTGCTAGTGGGCCCCACCTGTAATTTGATAAGCTGTTTAGGGTTTCCCTTATTCTTGCCTTAGTGTTTCTGTTTACTTTGCACAGCTATACATATGTTCTCATTTATATAGTTTCCTATGGAAATGGTTGATGACTACCCATTTAAACTGAAATGTTAGGAACATGAGAAGCTTTTAGAACACAGATACATGTGTGAACATCTGGAAAGAAAGATAGTTTCCAAATTGTTTGCAGTAGTTCTGGGGGTGGGGGGTCGGGATTACCAGAGGACCTCTGCATTGCTCGATTTGGCTTTTTCTTTCCTTTTCAAACCATGACAGATAGTTTCATACTCAGCAGTATTTTAAAAGGTAGTTCTAATTTGGTGACAGACGCCTTATAAACCAGAGTTTCTATTTGAATTTTTTATAAAGATCCTTTTTAGCCTGAAGAGGTTCCAAAGTCTTAGGTCATAGAAAATAAATAGGAAGGAATTCCTCACAAGTTTAGTTTGTTTTATGCTTTTTTCCGTGGAAGAAGATGCAGTAAAATACACCCCCCCCCCAAAAAAAAAAAAAAAAAAAAAAGAATGCTAAATTTGGAGTGACAGAAAATAAGAATTTTAGTTCCTGTATTCCTATTTGGCACATAACATCTGAGCCTCAGTTAATTTGCAGAATGAATGTGTGTTTGGCCAGATTATCTAAGTTTATTTTCAACTTCAAAGTTTTCTGATTTTTAAGCCAAAGTAAAATAGGGATTAGACTTAAGTACCTACTTAAAGACTACTTTAAGACACTCTCCAGAGTATTATAGGCTGTGATGTAACCATATGAAGACCTACCCCAGGAAGCTGCTAGGATCCTGCCCTGGAATATTTGAAGTTTGCATGCTCGTGGCCACACAATCCTCAGATTCCCTTGCAGATTTGATTATTTATAGTAACAGATTGAGTAATCAGTTGAAAAGAATTCCTTACTTCATGACTACAGGGAATATTTTTCTTGAAATTATTTTGAAATCCTTTTGATAAGCAAGATAAGTCTGAACCTGTATTAGAGATTGAAAAGTGAAAGCACAGAGAATGTGAAATGGATTATATTAAACTTCTGAAAAGTATATTATTGTTACAGGTGGCTAATTCTGTATTTGAGAGAGTTATTAAAGACTTGACAGCTGGTAATAGTAGGCTAATTGATTAAACAATTCTAAGGGAGAGTATAGTGATTAAAAAACAAATAAGGATAGATACATGTTTTTAGAAGTTAACATATCTCTAGTAGCTAACAAAAAATGAACTCATATAACTAAGTTGTGAATTCTTTAGGTAGTTGTAGAAGAAATGATCTTGAAATGGTTTGACAAATGAATTGATGTTTTCTTTATTTATTTATTTCGTTTTGAGAGACAGTGTCTTACTCTGTCGCCCAGGCTGGAACTGCAGTGGTGCAATCATAGCTCACTGCAGCCTCGACATCCCGGGCTCAAACAATCCTTGAGCCTCAGCCTCCCGAGTAGCTGAGACTACAGGTGTGCACCACCACACCCAGCTAATTTCTTCATTTTTTGTAGAGACAGAGTCTTGCTATGTTGCCCAGGCTGGACTCAAACTCCTGGGCTCAAGGGATCCTCCCACCTTGTCCTCCTAAAGTGCTGGTATTACAGGTGTGAGCCACTGCACTCAACTGAAAGTTTTATTTTCTTAGTTTATTAGAAGTAGGCTTTAGAATTGATAATCCAGTAAGTGTAGGTTTTTTCATTCTGTCCTATACAGTGTTTTTTGTGAGAAAGTAAGTTTGGAATGTGTAACTGTGACTTGGGGTCCTGAGAACTAGAAGAATATTATATTTAAAAAGTAATTAATAATGTAGATTCAGGAAGAAAGTATATCAAATACCATTTCATTAGACTTTTCTTGGCAGTTGTGTCTCATGTATCATACAGTGTGTGGATGATGGGTTAACAATGTGCTCATGAAGACTCTGAGGCCTCTCCAGTCTCAGCTAACAGGATGTATTAGTCCGTTTTCATGCCGCGGATAAAGACATACCTGAGACTGGGCAATTTACAGAAGAAAGAGGTTTAATTGGACTCACAGTTCCGTGTGGTTGGGGAGGCCTCACAATCATGACAGAAGGCAAGGAAGAGCAAGTCACATCTTATGTGTATGGCAGCAGGCAAGGAGAGCTTGTGTAGGGAAACTCCTCCTTAACATAAGCAAATAGCACAGGAAAGACCTGCCCCCATGATTTAATTATCTCCCACTGGATCCCTCCCATAACACATGGGAATTATGGGAGCTACAAGATGAGATTTGGGTGGAGACACAGAATGAAACTGTATCATAGGAGTACATTAGTAGTAGCCAGGAAATAATATGAAATGCATTTCTTCAAAATGTATAATTTCATATAAAAGATGGGAATTATGGGATCTACAAGATGAAATTTGAGTGGGGACACAGAAGTACATTAATAGTGTCTAGGAACTAATATGAAATGTGTTTCTTTAAATTGTGTAATTTCATATAAAAGAGCTAGTAGTTAAGGACAATTATATTAAGAGTTAAATTGTTTTATTCACAATTTTGGGGTCCCAATATGTAAGGACTGTCATTGCAACTTCAACAGTCATGTTTACTTGTTTTTTTATATAATGAACAATATTCTAGGTTTTATTATACTGTGTTTCATTTACTTTTTTACACTGTTTATCAAAAACGTGTAATTAATTGGGGCTTAAAATTTTGTTAAATTTACTTAAGAAAAATTAATAAATCCAATTATTTACTTTAAAGCTGCAGAAGAAAGAAGAACAGCAACTGGAGCCTAAAAAAAGTACCAGCCCTAAAAAAGCTGCGGAGCCCACTGTGGATCTTTTAGGACTTGGTAAGTGATAAAAAATAAAAGGTCGCTGCTAGAGTTACAAAACAATTGAAACTTTTACTTGGAGTGAATATAATGGCTTTATCTTCAGTATGCCAAAACGTACCTGTTAACTGAATTTGAAAATGGTATGATTAGTTTGCTAACTTCCCACAAAAAGGAAATCTTTAATAAGGGAGCTGGTGTCTGTCAGCACTGTCTTCACTGAAATACAAGTAATGAGTTCCTTGGGGAAAAGAAGATATCACAGTAATCTTCAAAGGCTTGGTAGATGTGACATTTTAGTGCTTACAATAAAGAGTGGATTATTTTCTCTTCTCTGTCTCTCGAATTTTCAGTTTTGTGAGGGATTTTTCCCCTTAACAAAATAATTCTAGGGTAGCCTTATTGTAAAATGTGTTGGTTTTAAATAAAATTTAATTTTGGTTAACTGAAGCAACACATTTTGCATCCAAATCTAGTGACTAGATTCATATAACTTATTCAATGATAATGAGAAGTGCTCGTTTTAATTTAATGTCCTGTTTGTTCTCATGGCTGAAAGGTATATGTAGTCTGTGTGGTAAGTAAGCAGGCCTTCATTCAAGGGGTGTTTATATTGTGCTTATCTACAAATATTGTTAGCTTCTCTCTCTCTCTCTCTTTTTTTTTTTTTTTTTTACATTTTTTTCTTCTAAAAGAATTGGCTTGATAAAAGGTTACTTTTAGTAATATCTGAGCCTTGGCACAGGAATAATTTCAATCTTTCTCTTTGTTTAGTTTGGAGAAAGATTGAGAAGGAAAAGAGTAAAAGGCAGTTAGTTGGAATAGTTGAACTTCATATACTGCTTTCCAAAAAATTGATCCTAGTTGTTATTGAGTAAATTGTTGTCTGTTTTAAGAATTATAGCTGAATGTTTTATTCATTTCTTAGGAAGCTGGTACATCATACAAATATACTCCCTGGAGGTACAATTCTTCTATGATGGTAAAAAGTTGTATATTAGAAATATAAAAAACTGTAATTTTGAAAATAAGGCTTCAGTCCAGGGGCTCTAAATACAATTATGTTGAATTGTAGTCCTCATAATTTCTTGTTTTATTTCCTTTACTGTAAATGAGAGAAAAAGAAAAAAAAAATTACTAAAGTAAAAAAATATCTTAGTAAAACTGTAGTATATCTTTGTCTTCACTGCAGCTTCCTTTTTCAGTCTGCCTTGCCTGGTTTATTAGTTTATAACTTAGAAATATAAAATATAAACTAGGCCTGATTCTTATCTTACACACTCATTCCATTCAACAAATAGCTACTGTCTACTGTGTGTCAAGGTACCATTGTAGACACTAAGGAGATAGATCTGAAAGAGGACAGACTACAACTCCTAACTTCTGGGGCTTTCATTTCATCTGGAGAGACAGTGAATAAACAATTAAATAAAATATATCGTAGGTTATAGGTGGTAAGTACTATAGATGAAAGAAAACAGAAATGGATGGTTGTAATTTTAAATAGGGTGGACAGGGAGGCATTCACAGATGTCTTATTGGAGCAAAGGTGTGAAGAATGTCTGGATATCTGGATCTGTAAGCAAGAGCATTCTGAGAAGAACACAGCAGATGGAAAGGCTCTTCCGTAGGAGCCTACTTGAAGTGTGCAAGGACCAGCAAGGATGACAATGTGGCTAAAGTGGAATGATCTGGGGGGAGAATAGTAACAGAGGAGACAAGGAAGGAAGGGGTAGGGAGGGTGCAAGCTGACTATAACAGGACTTGGTTTTAACTCTGAGTGACCTGGAAACACATTGGAGGAATTTGCTGAAAAGAAATAATCTGACTGTAGTATTTAAAGAATTATTGTGGTGGTTGTGCTGAGACTAGATTATCGTAGGGCAAGGTGGGCAGGAAAGGGTTTTTTTAAGGATGACATTACAAGTTGTTTAGTGTTAGAAATGAACTGTAGAGAGGTAAATCTGATACTTTCAGGACAAGGACAAATTGCTCTAGCAGTGTCCTTGAATAGCCCGGAGTGAATGGCATCTGGTCGACAAACAGTATGAGTGGCCTTTGAGATATTCCATTATTGTTGGAATGATACTGCATAGTAAATAAGCCTAGGTTTCAACAGCTTACAACATTAAACATCTGTTTCTCTCTTTCTGTGGGTCAGCTAGTGCAGCTCTACTATAACTTCATTTGATACATTTTCTACCTTCCTGATTATTGTGGGGCACTGTTTACCAGCCATTTCACTATTGCATATGTTTCCTTATCTTCTACCACCTTGTCTCAAAGTCAATGCCACAGATTTTAGGGTTCGGTTGTGGCAGCACCCCTCTTGTATCAGTTTCTAAAACAGTCACCTCTTGCTGTGCATGTTACATAGCAAACAACTCCAAAATTTCAGTGGCTTACATCAACTAACACTTATTTCTGTCACTCATGGGTTTGTAGGTCTGCTGGGATGTTGCTCTTTTGGACAGTGGGACAGCTTCAGGAAACAGTGTCTTTAGGGGAGAACCAAAGTTCATTTAGCAGAAGTTAGGGACTGTTTGTGAAAAAAGATTAAGAATATATGGGGGATTTTGCAATGACTGATAGTGGGTTTTAGATCATTTGGTGAAAGAGTTCCAAAGGTGGGAGGGGTGGGAGATGGGGTTAGAAAGAGGGCTGTCTTGCTGTGAGGGAGTTGTAGCAGCAGGAGAGGAAGTGTCTTACCCAGAGCACATACAGCTCTTCACATCTGCTGGTTATCAGTTTCCTAAACTCTTTTAAAAAATATTTTCAGACTTTTTAAAAAAAAAAAAAAGCTGTGTTAGGGCATAAAATTTGATGAATTCATGGAAGTCCAGGAGACTACAGAGAAATCAAAGGTCTCTTTCAGCTCAAAACAAACAGTGATTCTAAATGTGGATTGATGATTGGTGTCAACCTCGGGCCTCAGGCTCTTTATCTGCTCAGAAGCATGCCGCTGTCCTCTAATGGGACCCTGGTTTTCCCCCGTAAATTGAAAAACAGCGCAAATTGTAAGGGTAGGTGCCTTGAAGTATGATTTATGGTAATGCAAAGATGACGACATATCTCCGTATGAGTGAGACTAGAACAGACATTAACTTAAAACATTTCCAGAAAATATAGAGAAAAACTGCATAGCGATAGTTCAGTTACACAGCTGCGGATCCTTGGGACTCATGCCTTCTTTATCATTCTTAACAGTTTCATAATAGCGTAATACTTAAGACTAGTTTTAAGAGATTTGATCTTTCCTTTAAATGGGACTTTAATGAACCTACTTTATTTTTTGTAACCCAGTAACTCAGGTAAAACCTTTCTTAAGCTCACCTTTCCTGATCTACTACCCATTCAAAGTTCAAACATAAAATGCTTTATATTATATACTTTTTAGCAGAGGTTGTCCAATTTTTTCCAAGAAGGGCCAAATAGACATTATTTTTGGCTTTGCAGGCCTTATGATCTCTGTTGCAACTAGTCAACTCCCATTGTAGTATGCAAGTAGCCATAAACGAACATGTAAATGAATGAGCATGCTTATGTTCCGATCGATTTTAAAAACAGGCATGGGGCTAGGGTTTGCTCACCCCTGCTTTATGTTCCCGATAGTACCTACAAGAGCTGCCTCATATTTAGATATTAATTCGTGTTTGAAAGCTGTAGGACTACTATTTATTATAGTACTTTACTCTCTAATACCACAAACAGGGTGAGATACTTGAGCTGCCTCCAGTCCTAGAAATTACCGAGGGCCTTTGGCCCATGTTGACTAAGTGCCAGAATGAATAATCTCTGAATGTACCAAATTTGAATCAAATACAGACATATGCTGACTTGAGTATGCACGTCCTGTGTTAAAATAGAATTAACATCAGCTTCTAGGGTTTGTGAGAAGAGTGCTTTTCGGGTCCCCTTACTTGGGAAGCTAGTTTAGGACTGTGAATTATACTGTTAGGCTAGTGTCTATTCTTTGTTGTTTATTAGTTTTAAAGATGATAAAAATTGACAGACTGCTTACCAATTGGTTAGGACAGTTCCCCCAGACTAATGCTTCTATTCAGTAGGGCTTATTTTTGGAGTGTGGGGGCATAAGACCGCCTCTGAGAATAAAGTCTTCAAGGGCGAGCGCATGCTTTGGGCATAAGGCTTGAGAAGAATTACTTATAACTGGCCTTGGATGTGACCCTAGAGGTTTCATTTCAACCTCCCGTTAACGGTTCCTGCAGGGGTTCTGTTTTGTGGCCATCTGTGTACCACATGCACACTGCAGAGCAGCCTGGTTCCTTGTCAGGAGGCGTTATCCACAGCCCTACCAGGAACAGAATTGTGTGTGTCAGGGATGCACTGCCAAGGATGTCTGGGGTGACCTCATCCTGTCAGTGCTCCAGAAAGCATCTCACAAAGAATTGAGTCATGATCTTGGTGATGAAAATCTAGCTCAGGGGTGTACACTTGTGTTTCTGTTTTGGGGAAGTTGATGAAAAAAGTTTGCAAATTTTAGTTTCTCCATTCATGCTTGTGTTCAGGAAATAAAAGCTTTAACATATGACAGTGGTCAAGACAATGCTAGTGAAATTAAGCCATCAGTATATAACCCATTTTATTATTAGCAACACATACCCAGTTTTATATGAGAGAGATGAATACAGAAAGTACTCTACTTACCTTTCAGGCAGAAAATTCCTACAGAAAAAATTCTAGCCATTTCTCAAAGCCGCCCATGTGCTATAAAGCAAATTTGGGAATGAACTGAGTAAAAGAATGCCAGATTTAGCAGCAGTGGTCCTGGTGATCCACAGTTCCCAGTGGACCTGGAAAGCTGCTGGTATCCTACAGCTACCTATTTGACCAGATCCGGAGGACGTTTGTGTAGTTGTGTGCACATGCCCCTTTTCTTGGAGGAGGATTGAAGGTGGGGAGGACTATAGCAGAAGTGCCCAAGAAAATTTTATAGTCTCTTATGTTTTTCAGATATAGTTTAAAACCTGATAACAACTTGTATTGCCTCTGCTCAG